TATTTTCTGAACGCACACTGTTTAGGTTTCAGGACCTGCGTCAATTCTGCCTTATTATTACACCTAGAGGAAATAAAACTAAGTAGGCGTATATTACTAGATAATAAGAGTTATATACTTTATATTAAGCGAATCTAATAATATATTAATTATAAATTAATTAAATAGTAGGAAGTTTACTAGCCTAGTAAGTTTAGTCCTATAGTAATAAACTATAGACGTGCTCTAGCAAATACTCTACTCTATAAGAGTCTCTAGTACTCTTACTAACACCCTCTAGTAATCTTTCTACCTATAGTATCTTTAATAGGATAGTTATATATCTACTTAGCTACTATAATCCTTAAGGCTAGCCTACGCCTCTACTATTTCTTTAAATAACTACATAACTTATTAAAGTATTTAAATAACTACTTTTAATTTAGTATACTTATTTAAATATTTATAACCTTTATAGCTACCTATAGGGGTTAGTATAAACTCCTAGCCTATATTACTACTAAAGATATCCTTATTTTTAGTATTATATATTATAGCAATATTTATTACTAGTTTAATAGAGCTAAGATAGCCCTAAGATAGTATATTAAGGGCTAATAGTATAGATAAGAGTAGGCTAGATAGTTAATTTAGAGGAGGGCTATATATCTAAGAAAATAAGCTAGGTATAGCTATAATATATATAATTAATAGAGAATATCTTAAATATTAATTTGCTTATAAAGGTAAGACTATAATATATTATAGTAGATAGGATATACTAGGTTAAGTTATATACTATCTCCTTATATAACCTAAATCTAAGTATTACTAAAACCTATCCTATTATTCCTTAGACGCTCTAGCGAGCTTTGCCCTGCGGCTAGCGTGATTAGTTAAGGAGTTTTTAGCGCAACGCTAATCCCTTTAGAGTTCCTAGGAGTTTTTAGCGTTGCACTAGCAGGGGTAAAAGCTCGTCAGAGCGTTCTGATGAATGAGATAAACCTGCAGCAGGTCCACATCACCGTCATCACACCACCACGTTCCTCCTTGGCCCCTTGTCCTACCGGATTCCTGGCGCTGCTTCGTTCCCAACGTCCGATACAACGGCTACTGGCATACATCCGATGACCTGCGGAGCAAGCATTGCCGTCGTCAAGGTAGTGTAAGCGTGTGCAACGCTTCACCAAACCAGGTGGGAGCCACGACGCAGTTTTCCCACGCGGTCTTATCGTCGCACGGAAACCTTTACCATGCTCTCGGCGTGAAAATCGGCTCGAGGTTCCAATTGGCTTTGCCCACCAGAGCAGCTAGGCACGGTGTCATGCCCCATGATCTCCGTCGGCAATCTCAGGGGCTATGCAACCAGACTCCACAAGCCCGCGATATAAACTTTATGATGCTGAGATTCTAGAGCAACAGGTTCGCTTCTCAATGGATGAGCTCTGCTCTGTACACTTTGCTCAGAGTGTTAATGCCTCAAATTTCAAAGCCCCCTCTGTCCAGCAATGCATTACCTAAATCCTCAACTCCCTCTGCAAATAGGACAATTGTACGGTGGTAAGCTGGAACAGCCGGATGCGCGGTGTGAGAGAGGTACACGCGTCGTGACGGTGAGCAGTCTGACCTGTTCGGCGAACAGGGTTCGGATTCGAATGCCTGCTCTCCAGCCCACCAAGATCTGCAAGCCATTCTCATGCGTTCCCGAGTACCTACGATATGCTTATTTGGCATCGTTGGCCGCCGCGCTACGTACGCAGGTGTACCGGCTGCCGTGGTGTTGTGGCTGGAGCTTGGGAACTGCGTGGAAAAAACAGCCGCCGCCCTCTTACTAGAAAGCGTAGAATTCGGCGCGGGACTAAATAAAAGAGACGTAGACTATGCGAGCAAGTTTTGCAGGGGAGCCTACAAACTACCGAATGTACAGCGAATCGTACCCAAAAATTCCATATCCTCATGGTTGTACATGCATGTAGACCATGAAAGCAAAAACGTGACATAGAGCGGATGACAGGATGAGCATTTCCATTCAGGGCAAAAATCATCTTGGTTCTTCTTACCTTATGGGACTCTCTGATTGGTCGAATCCACAGTCCAAGCTTTCTTCTCCTCACCACATGGTCAACTTCATGCCACGACGACAAATGTCTCTCAACTTCAAACAACACCTTTCTACACGCTCTCTACGCTCCAAGAGATACCCATTGGGAAAAATGACTGTGAAGACTACCGCTGGCGCCGTCGATGCTTCTGGAAAGAGGAGGAGATGCAGTGTGGGGTCCGTGCGCACATGTAGGCATGCCCCATTGGAATCGGATGCATGGACATTACCAGCGATTGCGGCCAACGGGAGGATCAAGTAGGGACTCATCACTGAGGATGACGGTTCTCCTCGATTCGGTTGGATCCAGTTCGGTCACTCTGCCTTCTGTTACCGATTCATCAGATGCCATGACGAGCACGGTGCTCTGGACCTGGAGGGCCCTCTCGAATTTCCATTCATAAGTCCATGCGGGGGATGAAACCAGACAATCTATGGCGATTGATCGCACAAGAGGCTCTAATATCGCCCGCGCAATGAGATGTAGCTCATCTGGTCATGGACCATTGCTCAATGCTCCCGTGTCCCTGGCGATGCACCCCGGATACGATGGCCACAGAAGATTGCAGACGATGGCAAGATGAACCATAACTCGAGACTTTAACATGTTCACCTCTACAGGTCTGTATACTAATACCGTGTGCAGTGACTTGCGAAGACCATTTGGGGATATAACTTACAATGAGTTCCGATATTCGTCAAAGGCCGCCATGCGAATGACGATGAGGATATACACGGATAAGATTTCGGCCGCTCGCGTCATCGATATCGACTGGCGGAAGATGCTAGGGTTGTGTCAATCACCACTCGACTAGAGTTGTCGATGTGCGCAACGGCTGTCGTACCAAGAAGGACCCTTTCTTGTCTTTACGGGAAGCACTGGCGTCCTCTTAGGCTTGGATCGACAACTACGTGCAGGACTAGGCCCGTCAGTTGTCATTATCGCTACTCCCTCGATCGCCCCTGGCCACCAGATGAAGACCCGACGTGGCAGCGACTGGAACGCACCAATTGCCTTGAGGCCGATTGCCCTCTTTGTATGGAAGCAATTCTGAAAGGGCAATGTTTGCAAATCGAGGTGACTAAGAAAGCGTAGTGCTGTGCAGAGGGCTCCCAAAACGAGGTGTCAGCGCCTTCAGCCCCCGCGAGACATCTACCCCAGATTTACCCACTCTACTGGCGTCATCTCCGAGCACTTAGTTCCCGATAAGTGGCCTGGGTCCCCCCAGACCGCTCCGTGCTGCTCCGAAAGTCGTTCAGTACAGGCTGGTAGATTACTGCAGGTACAGCCGCACTCGCCACACAGCCCATGACAATGACAGCAAGGAGCTGCACGTCAACTGCACTGAGCAGCGCGAGGCGGGAGGCGCCGCAGTCGATTGTTGACATGCGACATGGGCTGGATAGATGCGACCTTCACCATGTGTTGTTGGAAGGATGATGAGAGTGTATCGTCGCCCCTCTCGGAGTTGCAACGGCAGACGGCTTTGAGGGATCTGGACAGACGGGGTTTACTTTTTTCCACCAGACGAGGACCCTTTGCGAAGGAAGACGGTGGATAGCTGTTGCGAAGGAAGACTGCGTTCATGGATGGCGATTAGCGCATCTCGCACCGCATCCAAGGATCCATAGCTCAGTTCAACGGAATATTGGGTTCCTAGTGTTACCAATGGAGGAAGGGGTAAGACATGTTGGATCAGCATGAGCTTTGGTATAGGCGAGAGTCAAGCATGATTCCTACACAGGAATCCGATATGCCGCCTTACCAGAAGCGGGTGATTACACCGCCACAAATACGATCTATCACTATGCAGGCCCCGTGCCCCCTGCTCGGGTGGCCCATGATTGATTTTTTCTTCTTTGCTTTGTATCCCTCTGGCATCTGGCATGAAGATTGTTGAAAAGACAATGGGCGAGCAGGTGCTGTGAGGGTTTGGGATGTGAGGCAGGCGGACAGAGGGCACAAGCCGGGCCCGGGTTTTACCTGATGGCCAAACGTAAGTATCAGTGTGGCTTATCGGGTGGGCAAGGGTCTGACAGGATTGGCGGATCGACGGCCAGGCCCCACTCGCCGCTAAGCCCAACGTTCTGCGGCCGCAATCATCGAGTATTGGGAGCCGACATTGTTGATTTGCGATTGCGGCTTTTTTCGACAACGCCGGCTTGTCTTGTGGGGGGGGGGGGGGGGAAAGCGGAGGGATAAGGAGAGGGTGAGATGTGGGAGAGCTAGGTCGCTTGGATTTGACCGACTGTGGGGTTTTGGGGGTGCAAAGAGAGCAGAAATGCTGGGGAAGGTCTGTCTGTCTGTCTGATGTCTCCGAATAGGCACTTGTTTGGGAGATTGAGCACGTGCTGCTGTACTTTGTTTATTGAGCATGGCAGACGTTCGACGAGTTGGGAGTGAAGTTCGCCGCCAGCAGGAACACGAGGAATACGACGCCTTGCCACAAGTTGCAGGGCGCGGCCCTCTGCAGTAAGGTACTTGGAGACGGTACCTATAACTTATTGTGTAGAGTACATGCCCACAGATACATTACATGAGTTCTGACAGGGAAAGGGCCCCATGAGTGCCCAGACGGAGACGGGGGGTGAAGCTCCCAGTCCCACTTTCTCACTCCCCTGAACTGCACCTCAGCACGGCTCCTGCGCGCGATTTTTTTTTAAAAAAAAAACAAGACCAAGAAACGAAGAAATGGGACTACTTACCAACTCCGAACCAAAAGATGGGGTGGGCATCGGAAAAGACCAAGAATACAGGTTGATTCAAGTGTTGAGCCCCCCCGCCCCCCCGTCGGCTATGACTAACGTTGCGTACCAGAACAGCAGCTCGAGCGTGTTGAATGATGGCCGGCTGACGAGGCCGAGTGACGAGACGGACTCGGATTGGCTGGCGCGTTATCTGTTATCGGCGCCACGACGTCAAAACGCGGCAAAGGTGCTTTCTAGGTAGTTTGTGTGTCCAGACTGCTGCATCCATCCTTCGGTACAAGACAGGACAAGGTGGAACAGACTTGCGTCGTTGTAGCATACATAGAGTAGAGTAGTCATGACTAGGTTGCTACCGACAGTAGGTATTGTATTGTAACGTAACTCGGAGCTGACTGGCCAACGAACGCCCCCTCCCCTTTGTGCTCCTACTCCAACTCCACATCGGCCCTCTCTCTCCCTCACCATTGCAGCCAAGCTACTCGCAGTGCAGTACAGTCAGTGCCTACAGCGAGTGCAGCGAGTGCAGTACAGTCAGTGCCTACAGCGAGTGCAGCGAGTGCAGTGCAGTGCATGGGGCCGCTTTTGCCGTCGCGTCGTACAGAGTGGAGCGGTGTGTGCGAGATTTACCATGGAAGACTATACAGCGGGCCATGGAACATTTGCGTGACCCATTCGAATAGGTAGCCTACAGCCTACCCTGGACTGAGGGACTTGTCACTGGCCACCGGGGTAGATGTAGCTACTGTACCGCTACCGTATTGTACAGCCACCCTTTTCCACCCTTCTTCCCCCAACTCATTGGCGACCCTGCCCAGTATCAGAGCGGTCAGAGTCGGAAGGGCCCCAAGGGCGAGCGAGGTGAGGCTGTGCGTTTCCCTCGACGCCGCGCTAGACCGCACCCGCTCTTTGTCCACGCACCGGGGGGCCGTCAGCGCCAACGGACGGGTCTGGGAAGCGGAAACAAGAAAAAAGAGCGCATAAGGCATGGCAAAGAAAGGTAGGGTGTACTACCCATTGCTTGCAGCCAGCGCGGCGCAGCGTAGAAATGGGGGGCATGAGATTGGGCAGCTGGAGAGAGAGAGAGTAGAGAGAGAGAGAGAGAGAGAGAGAGACTCCATGTACCGGTATCTCTATAGTACATGGAGGGCGTGGAGGACATGGGACATGGGACATGCGGAACAATGGTCGAACAGGTATTAGCGGAAAAGCTAACTGATTGTAGATGGCAAAGTGGGCTTTGGGTGCCCGCCTTGGGGGTTGGGTGGGAGGGTGTGCGCCGACGGGAACCCCAAGGGGACCTGGTTTCCAGAAGGCACGGGAGTTTTTGCCTTCTCCTTCATCATCCCACGGAAACAGTTCGGCGACGCCTCTTGGCTTGAACGGGGGTGTATGTGTGTGTCTGTGTGTCTGTGTGTGTGTGTGTGGCCAGCCTATGATTTGATCTCAGTTTAGCAGCAGAGTAAGCCCCGATAGAGAACCGAGACTCTTCACTGCACCCTGTTCACTTAGCTTATAAGCCGCCTGCCCCAAGAATCTCTCGTCTCTCTGCAATTCACAGACCAACATCCCCCACCCCTCCCCTCATATCTCCCTTGTGCAAACTCGGAGGCTTGTCTACTTGGTTGCTTGTCTGCTTCTCTACTTTGCTATCATCCCCTTGTCCACCGTGTCCTCTTAGACAACCATCTGTCCTTGTCCTCAAGTACAAACACCACCAAACCACACACACACACACACACACACATCAACCGCAGTCATGGTATGTTCAGCCCACCACCCTCTTCTCCGCGAAAAGAAAAAAGGAAATCAGTCTTGCTCACAACTTCTCCAGGCGCAATCAACAATCGTCTCCAATGCTACCAACGTAAGTCCCCTCCTCCTGGCTCTTTCGCCAGCCTCGCCTCGCGTGCCTCGGCTCTAATGCGCCATTTTCCTCCCACAGCTCAAGAAATACCTCGATCTGCCCCAGAAGGGCAAGGTCATGGCCGAATATGTCTGGATAGACGGTTCCAACGGCATTCGCTCAAAGTCAAAGGTGAGCGCCCCCGACCTCTTTTTGTTTGGTCACCCAGCTTTCTTTTGCCCACTTTCCCTGTCTTCGCCGGTCATTACCTGGACGGTGCGAGCGGCGCAAACGACGGGCATTTTTTGCATCCACGGCTGCGGCTGCATAGGTCTGCCGGGTTGGCTACAGCATGGCTTTTGCGCACATTCGGCCTTGTGTGTGTGTGTGTGTGTGTGTGGTCGTAATCGCCGCCAGTCGGTCGATGTGGTGTGACGCACATGTGCGGCCAATCGTTGCTGGTCGCGGTCGTGGTGGCGTTCCCTGCTTATCGCTGACTCCCCCCCCCCCACCACGATAAGCCGAGGGACGAGGGAGCGACCCACGGCCGAACGGGACCTGCATGACGGTGACGCAACAGCACAACCAACACCCTCTCGATGACAACAGCCTGCATCATCTGGTCACGGGACCATGCTTGATCATCCGCTTCTCTCATTCACTACAATACACTCTCCACACTCCAGTGCTAACTCCCCCGCCTACAGACGCTCGACAAGAAGGTCGAGAATAGTATTACGA